AAAAGAACAACCAATCCAGGGTCGCTTATTCACAGTAACTTTAAGCTCATTTCTATCTAGCAGGTTAGGGGTCCATAAACACAATCACAGAGAATTATTATTGTAAGACTACCTCAAAATCACTACTGATATTTTAGACCCCACCTTCTACCTTCCCCTTCATGAGAATAGGTATGTAGGTTGGGAAAAGGGAGGATGCTGGTGTACCTTGACTTTTTCTGGAAAACTATTTTCAGAGTTCTTACAATATAAGATGCCTACCAGAATAACCCCAACTGAGAAACATGGGTGGTCTCTACCCTAGAGAAAAAAGTATCAGGAAGGTTGCCAGAGCATTCCTGAGGACCAAATGCAATGAGCCATTTAAGCAGCAACAACAAAGGAGGGGATCATGAGGGGCTTCGTTGGTGTCACTATAGGTCCTATAGAGTCAAAGCAGCCATCTGAGGAATCCCAAAGCCTCAGACATGCTTTCCACTGAGAGATAATAGAGTGGCTAATAATAACACTTCGGAGTTTTGACTATCTGGATTCACATTCTAACTCTACAACTTAAAAGTTTCATCCCCTTCCTTGAGCAAATTATCTGATCTTTAGCGTCCTTGTCTGAAAAATGCAAATAATAAAAATAGCTGTTCTTAGTGGACTAGTGTCAGAACTATATTAGTTGGTACATGAAAAGCACCAAGCACAGTGCCTAGCACATGGCAGTACAATGTTAAGTATTCTGTGGTGAGGATGATGTAAGTCTTGGATACAGCAACCTAGATTCCTGACTGCCCTGAGGGAAGTAAAGGCCCAGCATAGAAAATCTACTGGAGAAAGACCAAAGATCCAATGGAGAAAGATTAAAGATCTATAAAACCATCCTATAAGCCAGGCCTAGTGGCTCAAACCTATAATCCCAGATGATTGGGAGGCTGAGCCAGGAAGTTTGCAAGTTCAAGGCCTGCCTGAGAGAGATGCATACTAAACTCAAGGCCAGCCTGGGCAACTTAGTGAGATTCTGTCTCAAAAATAAGTAAAAAAAAAAATAGCTTAGCGATAAGAGTGTTTTCCTAGCATGTACAAAGACCTAGGTTTAATCTCCAATATCACAAAATACACACACAACCTATAAAGGAATAAAACTCTGAAGGCTAGTGATCATCTTTTCTGCATTTCCCTGAGAGATGCTCCTTATCAAAAGCAGCACCACTTGTTCACTAGATCAAAGTTAGCTTGGGTACCATTGCCTGCTGAACAGTGTTCTATCCAAGCTCAGGACCTACCTCTAGTCTTTGTTCCACAATGGAGAAGATCCGTTCCACTCCAATGCTGAGCCCAACACATGGTACTTTGCGCCCTTTGGGGTCAAACATGCCTACAAGTCCATCGTAGCGCCCTCCAGCAGCTATACTGCCCACACCCAGGGGTTCTTCCCCTGTCTGGGTTTGGGTCTGGAGCAGCACTGCCTCATAGATGACCCCAGTATAGTAATCCAGCCCTCGAGCAAGGCTCAGGTCAAAGGAGATCTGTGGAGGAAAGGATATGGTCAGTACCAGATTAGGATAAGGGACCTCAAGCCCCAGAGGTCAGCCACGGTTCCTATCCCCAACTTGACTTACCTTGTCATCAATGCCAAAGAGGGTCAGGTATTCAAATAGCAGCTTTAGGTCTCCCAAGCCCTCCAATGCCTGCTTGTTTTGGGACAGTTTAGGATCCTGGAGTAGCTGCTCCACTAAGGACACTCCACCTGAAGAAACCAATTTGTAGGCCAGATTGCCAAGAAAAAAACAGCAGGTCTACTTTTCTGCCTGGATTGCAGTTACATGTGCACATCCCCCTTTCCCAACATGCATACACACACACACACACACACACACATACACACACACACACGTTTCAACTTTAGGACTGAGGAGGTGGCTGCTGGGTTCTGATCCTTACCATGCTGCTGGACATAGTCCCCAATGCGGTCAGCCACTTCTGGTGTAAGGCCCTTCTCTCCCACCATCTCATTCTTTACTTCCTCCCAGGATACCTGAGCAGACATCAACAGTTATAGGTTACTAGATAGCTTCCCTACCAGAGAGCAAGTGCCGACCCTTCTCAGGGAGCAATCTTAAAGCAGAAGCTGCCCCTCCAATCTACATGCTGGGGCGCACCCTCCTCCAGTGAGCAAAAAGAAAGGCACTTCTTTTTCTCAGTCTTTTTCATTGCTCCAGATAGGGCAGAATCTGGGGAAAAAAGAATGATATGTTTGGGTCATTACCTTGTCTAACTTGTCCACTGAGGAGCAGATGGTTCGGAACTTGCTATCAGGAACACCACAGATGGCAAACATTCCGTCTAGGATACGCCGGTCATTTACCTGTGGGGACCAAGGTATAATGAAGAGGAATCTATTACATGACCCCCAATAGCTTTGGTCACTTAGACTATTGACACTTCTGCACAAGGACTTCCTCCTGTGAGAGGCAGCCCTGCTTTGCCCTCCCATTCCCATCCAGCTCTGACCTTGACCAGGAAGTTGCCTATCTTAAGTGAACTCAGGATCTCGCACATGATCTTCAAGCACTCTGCATCAGGGATCATGGGGTCAAACTGACCAGCAATGTCAAAATCCTGCAGGGAGAGGTAGCCAAAGGTTCTTAAGGATTAAAGCATCTGAAGGGGGACTCCCAGGAGCTCTGCTCTGTCTGCATCCAAGCAAAGGCCTTCCCTTTCATTCTCTATGCCTGACCATCAGCTCAGAGGAAAACCCTAGTATTCGTGGGCCTTACCAGTTGTTATCTTTACCATCTACACAACTATTTCCCTTCATTATCTACTTCCTCCTTAATATCTCTGATTGTTATAGGATGATTTTCCAGCCTTGGTCTTTCTGAGGGTGTGTGGTAGTATTGGAGATTGAACCCAAAGCCTTATACATGTGAGACAAGCACTACCACTGAGCTACAACTGAAGCCCTTCCAGTCTTATTCTTTTGCTACTTTTTCTATCTGCCAGAAGTCCTGCCATCAGTCTAGATGTTTTGATAACCCATACTGAATTTCCTCATCCTCTGCTGTGATTCCATTTGTAATTCTGCAGTTTAATATAAAGAACACTGGTACTAGGGATGTAGCTCAGTGGTAGAGCACTTGCCTAGTGTCCTAGTATATAAAAGGCCCTGGCTTCAATCCCCAGGACTGTAAAACAAAATGAAGTATAAGATTTTTTTTTTCTCTGAACAAAACAGTAACAGTTAAAAAAATAATTAGGCTGGAAAGATGGCTTAGTGGTTAAGAGCACTTGATGTTCTTACAGAGGACGTGAGTTTGGTTCCCAGGACCCACATGGTGTCTTACAACCTCCATGGTGTCTTACAAGCTCCAATTCCAGGGGATCTAATGCCCTCTACTAGCCTCTGTGGGTACTGAGCATGCATATGTATAGATAAAAGAACACTCATACACATAAAATTAAAAAAAAAAAAATCTTAAAAAAAGAAATCACCCTAAACCAAACCAAACCAAATCAAACCAAACCAAACCAAACCAAACCCCCACACTTGTCTTTTTGTCTTATCATTCATCTGCTGAGTATTGGCTTTACTCATGTAAAATAAAATACCTCCACTCTCCAAAAAGTCATTATGAAATTTATATGAAAACATCATAGAAATCTAAAGCATTATCTTGGCTGTCCAGTTTGCTCAGAACACCATAGTACTTAATACAGTTTATTTCAGGGAGGGTGTGAGTTATCCCTCCTGCACCAGTTTGCCAACACTCACACACTGGTAGAATTCACGATAACGACCTCGGGTCATAGCTGGGTTATCCCGGCGATAAACCTTTGCTATGTGGTAGCGCTTAATGTTCGTCAGTTTATTCATTGCCAAATACCGAGCAAAAGGGACCTGATAAACCAAGAGTTAAAGAAAAAACTACTCCTGTCTCTGTTGGAAATTATCATCACACACAGAAGCTGAATTCTAACCCCTCCTTATATAAAACAAACCACCACTCATAATATTAATAGCATTTTTGACTGTCAGAAAGATTGAACTGTCTTATCTATCATAAAATGCAGTTGAAGTCTGAGTAAAGATTGAGGCTCCTTTCTCTTTCATACAGTCTCGTCTGGACTATGCTGACAAGGGGACAGCAGGGGCTGAGCAGATTAGACACAGCAGCAAAAGGGCCCCATGTGGATCTCTGTGCAAATCATTATTTATGTAGCCTTATGATAAAGCAAGTGTGCTATTGGTCAATTAAAGAGAATTTTGTCCACTAGGATGGCAGGGGAGAGGTGTTATGGAGCCAAGGGATTATGTAGACCTGGGAATTGGGCCCTGACCAAAAACTGAAGTCTCATTCAGGAGTCAGGCTATGCTCTGTTTAGCCAAAGCCCTCTATTTATGAAAAATAATTGCTTTAATTGTAAAGGCTTTATATTTAATTTGATCTGTGTCTGCTTGTTTCTAAACATGAGCTCCACCCCAGTGAGGGCCTATCTATCCAAAGTTATAAGAACCCAAGTTTAGAAAGATACAGTGAGGTCATAACGAAGGGCCAGCAGCTCCCCACCCTGATCCTTCAGGTCATAGATAAGCTTTGAATCTTCTCCGTACTTTCCAGTCAGTGTTTCCTGGAGAAACCAAAAAGAAATGTGGTCACAATAATAAACAAGTAACATTTTAAAAAGAACTAAAGAACTTTCTTGGTGGTGTTAGAGATTGAAGCTAGGTCATGTACTAGCACTGAGCTATACTCCCAGCCCCTAAGAGACAGCTATGAATACTAAACCCATTATTCTGTTTTGGGTTTTTTTTTTTTTTGTCTTTTTGAGACAGGGTCTCCCTGTAACCCCACCTGGCCTGGAACTCACTATGTAGACCACGTTGGACTGGAATTCACAGACATCTGCTTGTTTCTGCCTCCTGGGTGCTGGGACTAAAGGTGTATGTCACCACACCTGGCCCAAAAAACCTACTATTCTAACATGACTAATTTCAGCTTGTCTATATTCCCTCTACTTTTTATCCTAATGCTTGTCTGATATAGTTAAAATCAAAAGGAAATAACAAGTTTGTGTTGCTGTTCTGTTTACTTTTTCTATTTTGTGATAGAGCTAAAGCATTGTTTATTATTTTTAAATCCATCTATCTATCTATCTAACTGTCTGTCTGTCTGTCTGTCTGTCTGTCTTTGTGTGCCCATGTGTGTGTCATGGCAATGCATGTGGATGTCAGAGGACAACTTGTGAGAGTTGGTTTTCTTTTTCTATGATGTGAGTTTTGGAGATTGAACCTCAGGCTTGGCAGCAAGTGTCGTTACCCTCTGAGCCATCTTACCAGTCTTTCTTTTTATTTTTTTATTTTTGAGACTGGGTTTCAGTATGTAGCCTTGGCCAGCCTGAAACTCTTTATGTAGACCAGGCTAGCCTCAAACTTGTAGAGATTTGCCTGCTTCTGCCTCCCAAGTGCTGGGACTAAAGGCATGCAACTGCACACCCAGCTTTAAAGTACTATTTAAAAAAGATGTTTAATATTCCAGTGAAAGTCCGGGTGTGGTGAAATGCACCTATAATTCTAGCATTAGGAAGGTAGTGGCAGGAGGATTGTAGGTTCTAGGCCAGGGTGGGTTATATAATGAGAAGCGATCTCAGAACAAACAGAAACAAAAGTTTTCCATAAGAAGCTCTGTAGTTATTTGTTCCCTAATGCTATCCTGTTAGATGTTTATGTTATTTCAATTAAATTTCCAAACATGTTAACATGCATATCTGAAGATAATCTCTACAAGAGTGCATTAAGAGATCAGTAAACATATGCGCTTTTATAACATCTGAGAGCTGAACCATGTCAGACGCCAAAATAGAATGTCTTACAGGCAATATAGCAGGTCTATGCCCTGTGACATCTACAACTAGTGATAACACATCTCTTACCAAATCAGGAAAAAGTTTTTTTTAAAAAAAATATTTTATTTATTATTTTTATTTTATGTATATGAGTGTATTGCCTGCATGTATATGAGTGCACCCGTGTCATGTAATGAGCCAGAGGTCAGAAGAGAGCTTTGGATTCCCCTGGAACTGGAGTTAAGGACGGTTTGTAGCCGCCATGTGGGTGCTGGGAATCGAACCTGGGTCCTCTGCAGGAGCAGTCAGTGCTCTTAACCCCTGAGCCATCTCTCCAGCCCCAGCAAAGGTTTTAAAGGCCTGAAAATTTCCAGCATGTAAAATCTGAAACATTTGTACACTGGTAGTGTCATGGGCTGAACCATGTGTCCGCCCTATGCATATGTTAAAATCCTAATCTTTAGACACCCCAGACCCTCTTATCCTTTTGGCGTTCACATACCTACTCTTACACCATGCCGTTTCTCCTTATCCATTTCTCACCTTTAGTTCAAACACAGGTGTATCAATCACTTCTGCACCATGGCGTTTGAAGCAGCTGATGATGACATCAAATACCTTCTCCCGAACTGCCATCTGCCGGGGACTGTAATCTCTGGTGCCCTTGGAGTCAAAATCAGCCAAAGAATCAAGGATGACATAAAGTATAAAGAACAGTAAATTCTAGAAATATTCAAGGTTGAGCCCATCGATGAGGAAAGCAAGTCATGCTCCATACTTAGGTTTTCCTACAGTCTTCCCAGTGGTAAAACAAGTATGAACAAGCTCTAGTAATTCCTACTAGTCATTTGCTGTCAGCCTTCTAAGTTCTGTTTCCCTTTAAGTTTGGTTTCATTTTATAGAATTCTTACTAAAAAATATTTTATTTTTATTATTTTTACTCTTATGTGTATGAGTGTATTGCCTGCATGTATGTAAGTATACCTGTGTCCTGAAAGGCCCTCTGAAGTCAGAAGAGGATGTTGGATCCCCTGGAACTAGAATTACAGACAGTTGTTAGCTGTCATGTGGGTGCTGGGATTTGAACCCGGGTCTTCTGCAAGAACAACCAGTGTTCTTAACTGCTGAGCCATCTCTCCAGCCCCCACCTGTGGATTATTTCTATCCATATTTGTCACATTAGAAATTAAAACTGCCGGGGTATGGAGAGATAGCTCCTTGGTTAAAAGCACTGGCTGCTCTTGCAGGTACCTGGGTTTGGTTCGTAGCACCCACATGGTGGTTAACAAACCGTCCTTAACTCCAGTTCCAGGGGATCTGATGCCTTCTTCAATCCTCCAGGGGCACTGCATGCATGTGGTACATTTACATATATGCAGGCAAAACACTCATACATGCAAAATAAAAATATATTTAAAAATTATAAATAAAAATAAGGGACTACGGAGGCTGGAGAGATGGCTCAGTGGTTAAGAACACTGGTTGTTCTTGCAGAAGACCTGGGGTTTGAATCCCAGCACCCACATGGCAGCTAACAATTGTCTGTAACTCCAGTTCCAGGGTATCCAACAGGCTCTTCTGTCCTCAGCGGGCATTGCATGACACGGGTTCACTTACCTACATGCAGGCAATACACACATACACATAAAATAAAAATAATAAATAAAAGTTTTAAAAAAAGAAAGTACAGTACAAGTCCTGCTAAACATGTAGAAAAGAAGGAATTACACGGGGGTGGTGGGGAAGATGAGCTGTTGGCGTGGCAAAAACAAAAATAAGGGGCTATGGGGGCTGGAGAGATGGCTCAGCAGTTAAGAAAACTGGTTGTTCTTGCAGAAGACCAGAATTTGAATCCAAGCACCCACATGGCAGCTAACAACTATCCATAACTCCAGTCCCAGGGAATCCGACAGCCTCTTCTGACCTCCTCAGGCACTGCACAATATGGGTGCACTTACCTACATGCAGGCAATACATGCATACACATAAAATTGAAAAAAAAAAAAAAGATTTTTAAAAAAAGGGGCTGGAGAAATGGCTCAGTGGTTAAGAGTACTGGCTGCTCTTGCAGAGGACCCAGGCTCCATTTCCAGCACCCACATGGTGCCTAAGAATTATCCATAAGTCCAGTTCCAGGGAATCTGATGCTCTCTTCTAACCTCCTTGGGCACTGCACACCATGGGTGCACTTCCATACATGCAAGCAATACATTCAAACACATAAAATAAGAATAATAAATAAATAATTATATATAAAGAATCGTTTTGGCTGGGTGGACTAGTGGCATAAGCCTAGACAGAGGCAGGCAGATCTCTGTGAGATTGAGTTTGTCTACCCTGTTGTTTTTCTCTTAAACTCTAAGAAAATGGTTTCTAGCTTTAAAAATAGCAATATGCTTTTCCAATTTAAGATACATGCTGGGTCTAGAGAGATGGCTCAGCAGTTAAGAGGACTGGCTCATGTTGTGGAGGACTCAGGTTCGGTTCCCAGCGCCCACATGGTGGCTAACAACTCTTTATAACTCCAGTTCTAGGGGATCTGATACATCCTTCTGTCCTCCAAGGGCACAGGTGCACTTACATACATTGCAAGCAAAACGCTCATGCACATTAAGAAAAAAAAATCTCAGTAAACTAAAGTGGATGTTAACTCTTCAGTATAATCGTATTTTCTTTAACTGTTTTGGAAAATTTCAAAGACATAGTATAAAGAACAGTAGCACAGATCATTATGTATTTAATGCCTAGCTTCAGCAACTAGTAATACTTATTTCATTTAAATACTGACCTTTTGGGGGAAGTATTTTATTATTTTTCTTTCTCTCTCTCTTTCTTTCTCTTTTCCCTTCTTCCTTCCTTCTCTTTCTTTCTTTCTTTCTTTCTTTCTTCCTTTCTTTCTTTCTTTCTTTTTTCTTTCTTTCGTCTCCCTGCAGCCCAACTGGCCTAGAACTTACTATGTAGACCAAGCTGACCTGGATCTCACGGAGATCTGCTTGTCCCTGCCTCCCAAGAGCTGGGGTTAAAGACATGCCACCACACCCAGCTTATAACTGGCTTAGTTTAATAATATTCTAAGCAAAGTTTATGTATTGTAGTTAGTTGATATGTCTATTTAATCCATAATAGCTTTCTCTTTCTTCTTCTTCTTCTTCTTTTTTTTTTTGGTGGTTCTAGATATGGAAGCCAGGTCTTTAAGCATGAGAGACTCTTAACACTGAGCTATACTCCCATTTCCCCATTTTTTTTCCATGTTATTGATTTGTTGAAGAAACTGGGTAATTTTATGCTAAAAGCCTTTCACATTCTGGATTTGGTCAACAATATCATTGATGTGCCATTAACATGTTTCTCCACCTTTACTACCTGAAGGCCTAATTAGAGCCAAATTCAAGTTCACCTGACAAGAATTCATAGGTAGTGCTTTGACTTTTTATTGCATCTGATCAGCAGGAATCTAATGTCTGGTCATTCTGTTTTTAATGATATTAAGAATGATCACTAGGGCTGGGCATGGTGCCACATGCCTTTAGACCCCCTCCCCCCGCCACCCCGCACTCAGGAGGCAGAACTCTGTGAGTTCAAGGCCAGCCTGGTCTACATACTGAGTTTGGGGCTAGAGGGAGACCCTGCCTCAAAATTAAAAAAAAAAAAAAAAAAAGAATGCTCCTGTTTAGGTGAGGAAAGACTACTGATATACCATAAGTTATTATTTCTATGAGAAAATTAGAGTTTTCCCAATTATTCAATAGTCCGAACAATTATCGGTCATTATTTCTTTGAGATTTTGCACTGTCTTTTTAACCTTTGTGAGCTGGGTGTGGTGACCCATGACTGTAATTCCAGCACCTGGGAAGTACAGGCAGAAGAATCAGGAGTTCAAAGACAGCTTCTGCTACATGGTAAGTTTGAGGCTGGCCAGGGACAGGGATATCATTTGTTTTAAAAAAAAAATCTATATCCATATAAATACACCATATATACATATATACTTATTATATAAATAATAATGTGTATTATATATACACATAATAATAAATAATAATAATAAATGTGTATTATATATATACACATACAGCCAGACGCACACCTTTAATTCCCGGCACAGTTGGGAGGCAGAGTTGGGTCTCTGTGAGATAGAGGCCAGCCTGGTCTACATAGTGAGCTCCAGGCCAGCTGGGGCTACAGGGAGACTCTGTCTCAATAATAAAAAATAAAAAATCTTATCAATATCTATGAACAGCTTAATTAATTTAAGGAGTTCAAAAACTTAACCTCAATACGGGAAGACAGATCATTTCCTTTTTTCTTTGAAATTCAACTTATAATACATTCATTAAAAATCTGTTTATGGGGCTGGAGAGATGGTTCAGTGGTTAAGAGCACTGGCTATTTTTGCAGAGGACCAGGGTTCGATTCCCAGCACCCACAAGGCGGCTAACAACCATCCATAACTCCAGTTCCAGGGGCTCTGAAATCTCTTCTGACCTTAGGGGCCACTCCATCACACAAGTGAACTTACACACATGCAGGCAATACACTCATACACTCATACACCACTGCATCACACAGGTAAACTTAAACACATGCAGGCAATACACTCATACACATAAAGTAAAAATAATAATAAAAATAAATAAATGTTTATTTCCATTACCCTGAGTCTCAGCCTCAGGTAAATAAACCACCAAATCGATACAATAAGAAAGATACTGTATGAAGTACCAAGGGAACCAGATGAAGGGATAAAGAGTTTTATTTGTAGAACTTATAGAGAATAGTATCTGAACTGAAATCCTTGAGGGTGAGCTAGGAATCTGCGCCCACATTCCACTGTAATCTGACTTCCTATTTGGTTCTAGTTGTATAGGTTTTCCTTTGGTTTCTAGAAAGTATCAAAGTTCTTTTCTGCTCCAGAGTTTCCACACTCTCCCCTTGGCTCCCCCAACCTGACTTGATAGGTTTATTAATATATCACTTCCTTAGTGTCTTCTCAGCTCTCCCTTATTTTTCCCAGAGCATCTTTAAGTTTCTTCATATTACTAATCACAATTTGTAATTACATATCCTCGTGTGGGAATATTTGTCCTAAATTTGTTTCAGGGAATGTAGGCACCATGAGAGGAGGCTCTATTGTCCACTATGGTACATTCAATACTTTGTACAATGCTACAGATGCAGTAAGCACTCAATGAATGTTTAAAGGACAGGAGTAGCAGTAGCTGGCTGACTCCCGGCATCCAGCTGGCCTTGTTTCTGTCAAAACACTGCCATCACCGAATGACTCAGGCTGAGTTCAGTCCAGCCCAGAGCTCACACCAACTATTGTTTCTTTGGGAGTATTTCAGATCCTCAGTGGCTTGATTCCGGGAAGCCTACCTACACGCCCTTGGGAGTGGGTTAGGGACTCCCTCAAAGACACTCACAGGAATAATTTACCTTGGGGGTTTTGAGCACAAACTTCTGTTTGCCTTCATCAGGGCCCAGCTGTGCCTTTAGTTTCAGGAGTTTTGCCACCTCCTCTTCGATCTGTGGAGGAAAAAATGCGGCTGTGCTATGCATTTGTCACTCTCTTCCCCCGCAGCCATTCATTTTCTATTGCTCTCACTGGAAACTAGGTAGGGCAGGCGCCTCTGCCTAGGTCTAGCCTTGCTTTCCTAGGACCCACCAGGGCTGCCTGTTCACATAGCCCATCTTCACCCTACCAGCCCAGTCCCTTCATCCACATCCCTGTCCTTTAACAGACCCTTTCACGCTCCCCTGGTTTTGTGGGGCTCCTCTCCAGCCTCTGAGTCGCACCTGCTCGGCGCTGGCCTTCTGCTGCTTGAGACTCCGCACATGCTCTCCCTGAATTCGCACCAGCTCCTCCAGAGCAGCACGATCCGCCATCCTGACTGCCGAACCGAACAGACGGCTTTCTGGACCCGCCAGGCTCGGAGGACTTCCGGCGATCGAGTCACCCGGCTCTCCTAGAGAGCCTCTGGCGCGAGCGAAAGTCACTTCCGGGTTAGGGAGTGGGGGGGTCTTACTCCGAGTTCGGGTGTTTCTTAGGGCAGGGCTTTGTTTCTCCTCTCTGTCTTACCCTTTCTGAGGCCCGGCTGCAGGGCTCCCACGCCTCTAGTGTCTGTGCTTGGTGTCCTGCAGGATGCCCCACCCCGGGCATCTTCCCAGGAGGGTCTGGGCTGCGCTGCTCAGTCAGCTCCTGCGACCGCCCAGCGCTGTGTGCATCCGGGCGGTCGGCTGTTACAGCCAGGTGAGCCACACCGACGTAACTCCGCAGTGTCATTCGTGGCCTGCACTGATTATTACATTTGATTTAAACATTAAAAAAATATTTTTTATTATGTGTATGAGTGTTATGACTGCATGTGTTGTAAGTGCAACAATGCTCGTGGAGGTCAAGAGGGTGTTGGATCCTCTGGAACTGGAATTAAGGAGGGTTGTTAGCCGCCATGTGGGTGCTGAGATTTGAGCCCCGGTCCTCTGCAAGAAGGGTCAGTGCTCTTAAGTGCTGATCCATCTCTCCAGCCCGTTTTAAACATTTAAAAATTTCAGTATGTGTGTTGAGTGTTCTGTCTGCATGCATGGAGGTGCACCACGTGTGTACAATACCCATGGAGGCCAGAAGAGGGCGCAGGATCCCCTGGAACTAGAGTTACTGCCCTGTGGGTGCTGGGAACCAAACTGGATCTTCTACAAGAGCAGTAAGTGTTCCTAAACAGTGAGCATCTCTCCAGGCGTTACAGTTAGTTTTTATTGATCGTCCAGTTTGTACCTGTGCAAAACTAAGCAGTTTGAATGCTTTTGTCATTTAATACTTGGAGCAATCTGGAGGGCTTGGGGGTTCTTAATCTCCCTTTCACTGTTGAGTAAATGGGAAGATACACACTGTTACCTGAAATTCTTGGACAAGTTAGAATTTGAGCCAAGTCTATATAGTCCCACTAAATAAAATGGATAAAAAACATAAGTGAACTGAGTTTATGTGCAAGTGAATTCACTGTAGAATTTACCCTAAAATGAATTGTTGGATTTTGGAATTAGAGAGGAAGGACTGTGGATGTGAACTCACACTTCTCATTGTGGAGGCACTCGCTAAAGTGTGAAATTACCACCATTTCTATTTCTGGAAGGGCATACAGCTTGTGGGTATTTAAGTTAATGATTCTTTTTTATAAAATTATATTTTTAAAAATACTTTATTTATTTTGATTTTATGTGTATGAGTGTATTGCCTGCATGTAGGTTAAGTGCACCCATGTCGTGCAATGCTGGAGGAGGACAGAAGAAGCCATCAGATCCCTTGGAACTGGAGTTATGGACAGTTGTTGGCTGCCATGTGGGTGCTGGGATTTGAACCCAGGTCTTCTGCATGAACAGTCAGAGTTCTTAACTGCTGGTCCATCTCTCCAGCCCCTATGTTTATTTTTTTAAAAATATTTTTAGGAGGCTGGAAAGCTGATTTAGCTGATTCAGTTAAAAGCACCAACTGCCCTTGCAAAGGACCCGAGTTCAATTCCTCGCACCCACATGGTAGCTAACAACCATCTGTAACTCCAGTTCCAGTCATCCAATGCCCTCTTCTGACCTCTGCGGACATTGCACAACACAGATGCACTTACACACATGCAGGCAATACACTCATACATGTAAAATAAAAATAATATACAAAATATTTTTTAAAATTTGATTTATTAGGCTGGGTGTGGTGGCACACATCTTTAATCCCAGCACTCTGGAGGCAGAGGCAGGCAGATCTCTGTGAGTTCAAGGCCAGCCTGGTCTACATAGTGAGTTCCAGGACAGCTGGGGCTACAGGGAGACTCTGTCTCAAAAAAACCAAAAAAAAAATTTTATTATTTTTATTTTATGTGCATGATTCTTTTGCCTGCATATATGTAAGTGTACCACATGCATACAATGTCTGTGGGAGGTCTGAAGACGGAGTTGGATTTCCTGGAACTGGAGTTACCTATGTTGTTGACTGCCATATGGGTTCTGGGAACTGAACTCAGGTTTTCTGCTAGAGCAGCCAAGTTCTCTTAACTGTGGAGCCATCTTTCCAGCCCCTTATTTATTTATGTATTTTTGTGCATATGTGTGAGGGTACCTAAAAGCAATAGAATGTGTATGGAGATCAGAGAACAATTTGCAGAAGTCCATTCTCTCCTGCCATGTGGGTTCTAGGGATGAACCTCACACGATTGGGGGAGCACCTTACCCACTGATCCATCTCACTGGCCCTAAGTCCGTGATTCTTACCTTATTTCAGAAAGCAGATGCTTTGTGCTCAGCAGGGCTTTCAGATCTTTCCTACAAGTTTGAGACCAACCTGAGGTGCTTAGTGAGTTCCAGGCCAGCCAGTGTACATAGTAAGACCATATATATATATATATATATTATTGCCTGCATGTATGTAAGTGCTCCCGTGTCATGCAATGCCCGTGGAGGTCAAAAGAGGGCATTGGATTTCCTGAAACTAGAGTTGCAGAGGGTTGTTAGCCATCATGTGGGTACTGGGAATCCAGCCCCTGTGACCCTGCCTTTAAAAAAAGGGGGGTGGTGGAAGGGGCTGGAGAGATGAGTTAGCCATTAAGAGCACTGACTGATTTTGTAGAAGATTACAGGTTTGCTTCCCAGCACCTACATGGCAACTAACAACCCTCCGTAACTCCAGTTCCAGGGGATCTGATGCCTTCTTCTGACCTCCTCAGGAACTGTACAAAATGGGTGTACTTGCATACATGTCAGCAAAAAATTCATACGCATAAAATAAAATATTTTAAAGAATTGTTGCTTGAATAGGAGCTGAGAACTGGACTAATCCCTGTTCCTAGAAGGTTAGTGGTAGCCATGATCTCATTATTCTCAAATGCTTAAACTTTTTTTTTTTTTTTTTTTTTTTTTTTTTTTTAAAAAAAAAAAAAAAAAAAAAAAAGAGGACGATAAATCTTTCACTGTGATATATCAAAATAA